CCTAAACCGCTCCTGTGACCGTAACTTGAACAGCGAAATTATCCTTACCCAATTTGAAGTACTGAGGGTTGTCTGAGTGGTAGTTCACCACTAATTAGAGCAAGATTCTTGGAACCTTCATAGCAATGAATCTACGAATAATGTTTCCCTGGTTGATGCAGTTGAATGTTGTAGTGTAGTCGAGAAATAATGCTCGAACAGCACTTTTAGTCCTGTCGTCCTGAGCTTTCACATTATGAAATGGAGTCGCAACGGCATCATATAAACTCCAAGATTTGCGGCATGCAAACTGATTTTCACCCTGGAATTTGGATATATCGTTTCTTTCTATCGATTCGTCTAGGATCAGGGACTCGAGGCATTTAAGGGAGACCATAGCCCTACAGGTCTGTAGTCCTTTAATTCTTTGGGGTGGAAAGTTTTCGAAAGTGGGACTATCTTCGCCTTCTTCCAAATTTTCGGAATTATTCTCTATTGCAAACACTAATTGAAGATATCCATCATTGGCTAGGACAGCGCTTTAGATGTATTACACATCGCCCATGGACGAATACCCTCAGGACCAGCTGATTGCTTTAGCCTAAGTCGTCTTCTTAGCTGTTCAGTTCGCTCATTCGTCAAAGTTTTAAAAGCATGTTCGTTTGGCTGTTCAAGAACGGAGTTGATCAAATTGTCGTCAATTGTTGGCTGCCTTTCAAAACGAAGGAGAAAAAAATTAATGTCTTGAACTTTGACAGTATGCTTCGGCATGTTTTGAAACTAATTCTAAAGCAACCCAGATCCCGAATGAAGTCCCGATACCCCATGTGACTCAGCGTTTCTTCTTTGTGCTAGGATATTTTGTTGAACCATTTGAATCCCTTTGGTTAGTCGAATATCCCAGAACTTAAAATCATTCTCATGGGGCATGCCATTGCTGCCTTTTCTCATTGTCGCCTAGCGTATTTTATGTTTGCATTAGAGAAGTCAACTTCAACTCTCAAGACTGTGGAACTGAGCTCAAAGAAGAAAGAAATATGAGCATTCATTACCTCACTCCTGATTTCAAGATCTTTTTTCAAAATCGAGCAGGCAGTACTTTCCAATTCAAAATTATACATTTCCGTATTGAAGCTTCTGATTTTCATCGTCTTCTTCTTTTATGGTTTTCTGCGATAACGATTCAGTTGAATATGATGACACAGAATCATGGAGTGAATTGAGAGCTTCGCCAACTTCCTAGAAAGCACATTAATGTAATTTGCCCAAATAGCATCTAGTGCAGGTGTCTCTGGTTTCGTCTTCCCAAAAATAGGTTTCTCCAGCAAATTTTGCATAAACGCTTACTCGCTAGAACGAACGTTATCGGCAAATGATAATCAATGTTCATGATGTGCCTCTCACAAAATATCCCAGTTGCTTCATTGCTCTCAAATTTGGCAATGGATATTTGCTTTCGGGTCTAGTAAATACATCATATTTTTCAATCTCTGTTCTGATTTTATTGTTATACATGTTTCAAACTTTAAAGAAAGGAACCAAAGGGAGTTATTGTAGTATTGGGAAGTATTGAAAAGTGGTGAGTGAACTGAACCAAATTGCAAGGGTCAAGAAGGGGAAATTTACATCAGGAAGCGGAAACGTCCATTATGATACCGCGTCTCGAGGAAGAACGTTCCTTAATTTTAAGGTAGGCCCACTCCTCTTGATCCTAAACGTTTTTGTAAATTTTTGAAGAGCCATTTTATTATAGTATATTCTAGGTGCTTACCGCATAATCCACCTTTGCCTAGTCCCTTTTGAATGTATTTACTATATAAGCATCTAGTCTCTTCCTACAAATAGGTTACTGATGGGGCACCCACTACGACGTCACCTAACTCATTCCATGAATTCACCTCGCTTACAAGTAAAAAAAAACCTGTCATGACCTGAGCCACACCAGCCATTTACGCAAATTCAGTTGATAACCGATTATTTTCTTGCTGCAATTCATGAATTACCACGCTCCCTATTATATATTCCTTTAATTATCTTGAAAACCTGGATGAGGTCGACCATCTTGACCAAGCTCTCGAGCGGGTAGAACTCCAACAATTCTAACCACTCCTTGAACGAGAATACCCTAACCTCCTTGATTAGTCTCGTGGCCTCGAGGGGGTTTAGGGGAATTCGTATTCCAAACGGGGTCTCACCAGTGCCGCATGCAAAGGGGAAAGCAACAAGCGAGTTCCTACTGGCAACGGAACGACGGATGAATCCTAGAATTATTTTACTGTACATTTAGCCATAGTCGCTGGCGCCTGCGAGGTAAATATGAATATAGAAGCCCGGGAAATATTTCTCTCCGATTGCCTCTTCTACGTCAAACGCGCCGAGAGTTCTGTCGTTATTTCTAAGGACGTGGAGAACTTTACATTTACTCTTTTTTTTACCCTTATGAACAATATCTTGTGTCCCAAAAGCCTCAAATCTCGCTCGTGTCTCGCCCTATCCGCCTCCCCCTTAAAATAAAATTCCTATTTTGGCGTAGTCTGCAAACTTACTACTCTTACACTCTACGCCTAGATCTAAATCATTAATGTAAGCCAAAAACAGAAGCGGTCCTAAGACCAAGCCCTGAGGAACACCGCTAGTGACCCCGACCGCCGTCGACGCTTACCCAATTACCATTACTCCCTGCCCGTCAACCAGTTACTCCACTCACTCGTCATACCCTTGATCCAGTGCCTCCAGTTTAACCAGCGATCTCTTGTAAGAAACGGTATGGAAACTTTCGCGAATTCATAGTATATGATTCCAAAGGATTCCTCTTATCTATCTGCTCTGTCGCTCATTCGTAGAATTCGAGCAAGTTAGCAGGACGAATTCGGCGCCTCATGAAGACATAAATACTTGCCGAGAGTCCCGCATGAGCGCGTTGCCTTCAAGGAAACCTAAAATGTGGTCCTATAATATTCTCACCATGATTTTCCACGAAATATAGTGTGATTACCCTATGATACCGTTTTCTATGGGAGAAACAGTTTCAGAAACAGTTTCATGAATGCAACAGAAATCGTATACATTGGATATGCGATCTGTATTGGACAAGGTGTTGATAGGCAGGGGTGCTGAAAGAAAGGTAACATGCATACGTTTTCCAAAGTCCATTTTGGACGTGACTTGTAGATGCTTAGAAGCGATCACCTCAAGTGACATATGCTCCACTGTCTCAGAATTCAATTGAAATATGGCAACAGGTCGGACTATATTGAAAATAGCCCGCATACAAAAACATACGTCTCTACTTCGAATGGAGGCCAAATAAGGCAGCAGCGTGGCGCAGCACTTGAATCGGAGCCCCTTCGATCACCAAGTTAAGCAGCGTCAGCATGGGCACAACCTGGATGGGTGACATGGGAAGATCGAGCTGCTTGACTAAGGCGGTGCTGGGCACTTCACCGATGAAGGGCGGATGAGACTCTCGACAGTCCAACGGCCGTGGTGCCCCATGGATCAGAGGATCACCATGTGCACCCAGTGCAACAGGTGGATGTGGCGCATGCGCCTCACCTGCCAGGTCCTCACACTCATGGAAACATGATGATGCCACAACTAAGAAAAATTCATACTGGCTCGGTCGTCGCCCAGGATAAAAAGGGCCGCGCTGGCTGCAGGTCTCCCGGTGCAGTCAGTGAAAAGTTGGCGTCCGGAGGCTCTCAC